GCATAGAAAAATATCTATAGACGTATTTATTATATCTATGACGTAAACTTTAGTAAAACGAACATGTTCTTTGAGAGCTCGATCGTGACGCCATCTCGGGTGGAATCTGAAAGCGAAATGTTTGTAAGGGTAATAAATAGCAAAAAAAATATTGACATAAAAGAAAATGTAGATATTACAAAGATATGAAAAACGTTACTTTTCTTATAAAAAAAATAACAGAACATTCACGCCTTTTATCCCCGAAGGGATAGGCAGAGGTGAACATTACGGCACTTAATGCCACTGTACAATGTGACGAAAATGTAACTATTAAAATTTTAATGACTGTATATTATTAAGATTAGTCAAACATTGGCTACTAAGACATTTTAGTACTAAAAAGTATTAAAAACAAAAAAACATGCATAAAATATAAAAATTAATGATAAAAACAATATAATTGTAAATATCAGAGAATGAAAAAATGTTTTCAAATAACAAAAAGAATCTCTCCGGCGGGGAATCGAACCCCGGTCTCCCGCGTGACAGGCGGGGATACTTACCACTATACTACCGAAGATGTGAGAGAAATGGCGAAATATGCAACTACATATTTCCTGATGTTAATTTCCAAATTATTATTTTTTTATTTAATTTATTGTATTATAATCTCATTTAATTATTTCGATATTCGTTTCATAATGGTAATGACATAGAAAGTTGTTACTTTTTAGTTCAGTTTTCCAAAGTATTTTTTTTTATTGCTAGGTTAATCACTATCTCGCCTGATGGTAAGCGATGATGTGGCCAACTGTTACAATTGAGCAATTTTTAATTCAATTAAATACTTCTAAAGTCAATTGAAAAAAAAATAGTTAACCAATGATATGAAAACCAACAGCGTTTGTAAGTAGCAAAGCGAGTAAGTAGCTGTTTAGCAAAAATAGAAAAAACATTGAAAATTGCAAATATTTCAATAAATACTAAAAAAAATATTGAAAATAACTATCAAATGATTAAAATACTGCAATAAAAAACTACAAAAAGAATCTCTCCGGCGGGGAATCGAACCCCGGTCTCCCGCGTGACAGGCGGGGATACTTACCACTATACTACCGAAGATGTGAGAGACGTGACGAAATTACGGTTCTAGTTTTAGCACATTGAAATAGCATACATATTATTTGCTTCTACATAATTATTTTACTTATCGAACTAATAACAATTAATTAATGATAATTAAATGCTTTTCGTTACATGTTCAGAAAGCGTCGCTAATACGTTCTGTTTCTGCACAAGGCGATGTATATTTAATACTTGTAACATTGAACTTAATCCTATTAGAGATAGGGTGTTTTTCATTATTTTGAGTGGTAAAACAAAGGGATTAAACCCAACGCAACTTGCGACGTTATTTTCTTTGCAAAATGAACTTAGTCTTTAAAGAAATAAGGTTTATTTTACATTGTTTGGGGTGCTAAGGGTATGAAGTTGGTGGGTATAGTAATACTATGAGTTTGCACTGTTACCTCACGTGTCGACGGACTGGTTGGCGAGTGAGCCGTCCCACGCCGCCTCTTTGTGTAGAGCCGCTTGGCGTTTCTTTTCTGAAAGGATTTAGACAAATAACATTAGACTGTATTCCCATACGTAGAAGTAACAATTTAATACAACACCTTTCCGTTAAACATCCAATTTTTTTTTTCTGAGGACTTAGTACAAGTTTAATTTACGTTTAAAGTATTCGAAACTAGTACGCGTTCTGCGCTCTGATTGGCCGGCTCGAATGAAGCAACCAATCAGAGCGCCGAACGCGTACTCGTTTCGAATACTTTAAACGTAAATCAAACTCGTACTAACGCCTCTGATTGGTTTGTTCATTGGAGCCGGCCAATCAGATCAGAGCGCCGAACGCGTACTCGTTACGTTTACTTTAAACTTAAAAGAAATTGGTACTAAGGGCTCAGAAGACCACCAACACAATAACTGATGATTTATAAGTAATTTCAATATTTTTGTCTCAATGCAGGAAAGCCCTTACAGAAATGTCTAGCTACAAGTACTTCTAGATGTAAAAACACACATTTCCAGTACGTAATACAATTGGAGTTAAGCTCTGCAGAAATGATAATGGGACCAGCCAAATTGATACACACACCAGCCATGTCATAAAGCTACTTTATTAATTTAT